GCAAAAACCTGGATCGGGACATCTCTAATATATACATACATATATATATATAAAAATAAAAGTGTGTGTGTGTGACTTAGATTTTATTTAGTCATTTTGTGAATACGAAAAAAAAAATTTGTTTAGTACTTTTTCCTTTTTTTAAAAAAGTGCAGTCTTGATAAAGGTAGGCAGCAGTGATACAGACACTGTGATGTTTTTATAAATATATATATATATATATTTCTTTATTATTATTATTTATATATATATACACACCACTATCTTTTTTTACATGTGGTGTTTGTGTAAGAAATGGATGTTACCCAAATGCTATATAGCAGGGTTGCTAAAGTCCAGTCCTTAAGAGCTACTATCCTGCAGCTTTTTAATGCATCTCATTTTAACACACCTGAATCAAATGAGTGGCTCATTACCATCCCTCTGCGGAGCTAAATATGAGGATTGAGCCTTTAAATTCAGGTGTGTTAAAAAAGAGAGAAATATAAGAGTTAGAGGATTTTAGCTTTTGAGGACTGGACTTGAGCACCCCTGCTATATAGCATAGGATATAAAAAAAAAGATCCACTTTAAAGATCTACTTTTGAAAGATCTAAATAAAGATCTACTTTAACAACCAGCAGATATGAGGTATAAGAATCTAGTAGAATGGCCTGAGTAGGAAATATTACTAAAAAATAAATAAATAAAATAAAATCTGGTGTTTTTCTTTCTAAATTTATGCAAAGTACAAACAGGAGACTGGCCTATTTTTACATCTGTGGACTGGATGTCTGTCGCACTTATGGGCCGCTCTCACGCCTGCTGCAGTCGGTCGTATTGATCAGAATAGATGTGCCGTGTTGTAGCAGCTGCTCCACATGTTACAAATTAAGTGTAATCTGAGCTTGCATTTAAAAAGGATTAAATGTTTTGGGTCTTTCCGTTGTAACAAGCATGATGACAAAAAGAAAGAAAAGAAAACACAGCTTTAATTATTTTCCAAAGGTGGATCCATCCTACTATCCTTACGCCTAATTTCTCTTATTCAGGGTTGCAGTGAGCTGGAACAGAAGCCTCTGCACAGAATGTACCCTTAATGGTTTTTTTATTTATTTGCTTCTTTTATTTCTGACTAGTTTTAACTCAAAGCTGTATTTTTTGATTGGGCGTGTACAGACAGATCCTTTTCAAATGAACAAAACAAAACAGAGGTATTTGGAATAAACTTATTTTCTCACCATCAGATATTAGAAATTCCCTTTTTTTATGCTTTAACGTGCTTTTATTTTTACATTTCCATTATTTTTTTTATTATTTTTTGTAAGATGAAAAGAGAGAGAAATCTAAAGGATTGTTCCAGATCGATTCAAATCCAGCAGCTTTTCATCCTACAGGCATATTTAATTATAAATCTCTGCCTGCAACCTTTGACCCTTTTGGAAATCAATAAAATGTGCAGTATTAAAGGCGGCTGATATATTTCTGTAACACAAGCATCTTCCTAAGCGTCACCAGGTGCCATGTGATGTCCTGAAGAGGGATTTTGGTAAATGATTAGTGAGCGCTCAACTTGGCCTTTGCACCTGACGCCAACATTTACTGCCTTTGAAGGAGGACTTTGGTAGAACCCTTTGTACTAAAAGCATAAATCCATTTATGGCAACTCTTTATACTGATATGGGCGCACTTTAAAGCTAAATATTTTGGATCATAAACACAAGCCTTGCATAAAAAAATGAAACACTGTGTGAACTTCATATACTGCCCTCGATTTTCCAACTAATTTGCTTAAGGAGGCAGGCAGCGAGTCTTTTTCAGAGCGCCATACATGAAAAAGTACAAGAGGTCAGGGCCATGGTCTGCTTCAGCCTATTCAATTCGATCGTCTGCGTTTGGATTCATGAATAACATGTATGGCACAAGGATGTCTGCTGTGAAATTGATGGATTACCCTGACCCCCAGATGCTCTCCAAAATGGTAATTTAATGGCACAGGCCAAATGTTTAACAGATATCCTTCATTTTTACATCACCAAAACAAAAAAAAAGGTTTTACATTATTCATAGAGCTCAAAAACAATTCAGTTCAACTTCTTTTTTCTTTTTTTTTCTACCTTCGGAGAGAATTTGCATCAGGGAGTGATTATTAGTCCACTCGGGTGCATGCTAAGCACATCAACTGTTTTGGTTTGACGTGAGCAGCATATTCATAAGGATTCATTCCTGCTGCATGATTAAAAAGCAGCCCCATATATAATGTCTCAGTCATATAGGAACAAAGCATTTCAAATAATCATACCTAGTCACCTGCTCGGCTTGACAGACTCCCACCCTGCTGTTCTTACATACTAAATAGCAATCTATGGTGATACAATTGTATGATATTAGCAATGAAATAAACCCCGTTAAAGTATTCTCTCAGGAAACATCCATGAAATTGAATTTGGAAATAAACCAGCTGAAACGAGAGTGTGTCTTTTGTGCCCATCCGGGTTATAAATCAGAGTAATCCATCAAAATGACAATTTGGTGAGCCCTGTGCTAAAATGGATGTTGCGCTCGACGGCTCGCGACATTACCTTATGCTATACAGTAAAATCTGCAGCCAAGAGGAAAACAACACGAGGAAAATTATATTTTAAAGCTCCAAACATAATTTCCAATAGAAAACATTCTTTAGCATTATGTATGGGAAAAGCAAACCTAAGACACTTCTTAAAAGCAGGATAGTAAGCGTATATATAGGGAAGTGTTAAAAAGATAGATAGATAGATAGATAGATAGATAGATAGATAGATAGATAGATAGATAGATAGATAGATAGATAGATAGATAGATAGA